CTAATGATATCATTCTCTATTATTTGGTCCCTATACATGATTTTCCTAAAATGGACCTAATTCGAGATATTTAAGAAAAATTGCAAATTTCGAATTTTGAAGACAACTCAAAAACTGATAAAGAGAAAAACACCAAATTTTAAAATTAGGCTTTAATCTATCATGCGGTGAGCTGATTAAAGTTTGGGCATAATCGAAGCATCTGGTAAATACTTTACAGGGTGTTGTTTTTTTATTTTTAAAAAATAAATACTCTTGACCGTATTTTCTTAGGCAACCCTTTCGCGATATATTTATAAACATATTTTATTTAATTAAGAGAAACTTTCATCCGGTAAACAGATGGGTGAAGGTCGGCCTTATTTCGGATCTTAGACTACAAGGAATTCAACAAATTAACCAATAAGACTTCTGGTTCTCTCATTTTTTCTTAATCTACTTTGGACCACTTTAAGATATGGACAATATTTGGAAATAAAAAAATATTATTTTTAAAATCGATAAGATCGCAACTTTCTGTTCTTTGATGTCAAATCAGTGGCGGTAAAGTCGGGTATCTACAAAAGTTCGCAGGATATTTGAAACTTTTTTATTATTAGCTTTATGAAAAAAAGTTTTTTCTTCATTAAAAGTTCTGCATGGTCTGAAAACTGAAATGCAACTAAGATATCAAATTTTTACAATACTATACGAGATATATCAAATAATATGAATTTAGCTAAAATAAAGTACCTTTATTTTTGACAAATCTCGTATACGACTGATTAAATTTGATATTTGATGTTTGCATTCTAGGTTTTAGACCATTCCGAACTTTTTATGAAAAATAACTTTTTTCCTAAAGTTAATAATAAAAAAGTTTCCCATATGCTACGAACTTAAGAACACGCTGTATAAAAAATTTAAATATTTTACTTGTTCTTTTCGACTTACTTCTGTTTTGAATGATTCTTACAAAACGGAAAGCACCGTAATAAATCACATAAAATGTTTTTAAATACGCAATGTTGCCATATTCACTGGCTCATGATGATACGGAATCACTTTCAATACGTATATATAATTATATACCGCAAATATCTACCTAAGCGCCGCAAATGTCAAACTCTTGAACTACATATTGGAGTTTCGTACGTTCCTGAACCAATAAAAAAGGGGGAATATCCGGCAATGTGTTGGGCGCGAAGATTTATAAACATAATTTGCAGATTCATTTAATATTGAACTATTACCACAGCTTATACAATACAGCTAAAACACTCTCTTGGCGGCAACGGTTTGCGTCGATTTCGTCGCGCATCGCTTAAGCTCCGCCTTCGGAGGGAAAAGACGGTTTTGGCGTTCAGAAGCGTACTTAGATAAGGTGTTGAGTCCTGCGTATAATTTCGTTGATTGTATAATTTCGTGGAGCCTATAATTTCGTTGATTTTGTTTGAGTTAAAGGTACTGTTATTATTTTGGTGACTCTTTAGCTGTGAATAGAATGAGTGAAAAAAAAGACATCATTCTGTTTGTGCAGTCAAAAGCTGTTTTAATAAGGGTTATACCTGCAAGAAAACATTCTTTAGTTTTCCCAAGGACCCAAACCGATAAGTATCACAATATAAGAAATTTTCATTGTTAAAAATATAATTTATACAGGGTGTCCTATTAGTGCGTTCTTGTTCATTATTTTGTTGTAGACACCCAAAAAAGTTTTAAATAAAAGTTATATGGATTTGAAAAATACCTACATATTTTAAAAATATCTTTGGATATACAGGGTGTCACGTTTTTGCCTGGCAAATTAAAATGTATGTTTTTTAAATGGAACACCTTATATTTTATTTTATGATGAAATTATTAACACCCTAAATTATTGTAAAGACGAGTTGCTACAAAAAATTTTTATCAGGTATGTGTGTGGTTACCTTTTAATAAAAGCCTTGCGGATCCACTCCTGTGATACCTGTCTTAAATATAATAAAGATCACGTTGAATTAAATGATTTTTCTTTTTATTGCTTTTTAAAGGCATATGATAACGCCAATTCAGATACATTTGGAAATCTGCAACTGTCAAATGATGAATTTGTAGAACTAATATTCAATATTGAAAAGATATTTCAAAATAATTTTGAAGAATTGGCTACAAAAAATAACATTTGTACCACACTTTTAGAATTAATTAACCCAATACCCTTTAGTCATCCATGCTAACGTTTTCCAAAAGAATAACCTATTTTAATGTATGTTTAATCTCAATAACTAAAAAATATACTGACAATTAGTTTGACAGAATTGTCATTTATTTAAAATTTTAAAAATAATAGCAGTCGGTTGATCAAAATATGAACGGTGATTGGCGAATTTATTTTTTTTGCAGTGTTCTCACTACTTAGAATGGATATGAAATATATTCGTTCAATTGAAGGCAATAGCATACTTTTTCGTTTTGTAATCTGTGCATGGATATTAGCCAATCTACGAACATACTACAAAACGAAAAAGTAAGCTATTGCGTTCAACTACGAATATATTTCATATCCATTTTAGGTAGTGAGAACAATTTAACAAAATTAAATCTACAAATCACAGTTCATATTTTGGTCACCCAACTCCTATTATTTAAAAATTTTTAAATAAGTGACAATTCTGTTAAACTAATTGTCAGTATATATTTTAGTTATTGATATTAAATATACATTAAAATTTTTGTGTAGACTCGATAAATAATAGCATTTTTATTTTTATTGTGTCCACATTTAAAAATTTTTTTTATTAATTACGAGTATTAAAACTAAAGTCCTGAAAGTTTCGGTGAAGATGAGGATAGAGCATCTGCGTTCCACGCAAAAAGCCCGATATCGAATCTAGGCCGAGGACTAATTAATTTTTCATGTTTATTTTATTTTATAAATTAGTCAACTTCATAAATTATTTTAAAATTAGTTATTTTGTCTAAATAACCTAAAATAATTTTTTAAATTTGTAGATTTTCGTTAGTGGGTCGTAGAAAAAATATACTGACCACATCGAGTGGATTGTTCATATCACAATCAGACGATTGAGTACTCCGCCTACGACGTCGTGCTCAAACTTCGTCTTTGTGTGATATGGCTATCATATCCACCCTTGTTGAACAAACTACTATTTATTTGTTTTCTTGGTTTAAGTTTTACATCAGAAATAGGAACTAAATTAATTTACTTTTCAAGTTTTCTTGTAAAAATCGATATTACTTTCTCCAAGTACAAATTTAGTACCTACCTAAAATAAGTATTAATTATGTAATTTTGTGTAATATTGTAATTCAAATTTCACATTACTATAAAGTTTCAAAATTTCCTACTTCGGTATGGTCACATAAAAATTGAATATATTATATTAATAAAAACTGTCAAAGTATTATTTCTACAAATCTGTATTTCAATTAATAAGAATACATCTAAATATAACCAATATTGTTAAAATAAAAGCACAAATTCTTTATAATTCCAAAATACCATAGAGTTCCCAGACCTCAGTCGAAGCATTCGTTTATCTAGGTATTAACCCTTTGCACGAAGAGTAATACTTGCCAGACACGGGGTACCACTTGATTTGCATCCACGAGCGTGACACAATTCTTTAACAATTGAAGCCCTCTTGGTGTAAAAAGGATCCAAGCCACAATTTGTCGTGAAGTGACTGTTTTAGCTCAAAACATTTGTTAACGAGGATTTTACTAGCCACATACAAATTATTTTACCTCTAATCCGAAAGATGTGCTATTTTTCGTAATATTTATATTTAAATAAGTTTTTTAATTATATTTGACAGATTTAAAACAAATTAAAAATTTAATTTCCCAAAACTTACTTATATGGCATGTAACCAACCTTATTACGCGCCAAGGTTTTCAATTTTTTCAATAATAAAAAAATTGTTTAATCCGGGCCCGACTTTTCCCTTGAATCTAACAGAGATAGCACCATTCCGTCTTGCTTGGTTCTCGACCGCCAGATCAAAGACGCCGACACGGAGTTGTGGAGCTGTATTGTATAAGCTGTGCTATTACAATCAAGTTTCAATTTAAGGATAGAGTGGGTATTAAATAATTTAACACAGCAAAACAAACCTGAACCAATATACTGGGTCAGGTTTGTGATGGTGGTTCAAGATTGTTAGCTCAAGTTACTACTTCTGGTTCAGGTTTGGATGGTTACCGTATATATATATATATATATATATATATATATATATATATATATATATATATATATATATATATAGCGCCTTAGTATATTCTTTAACCAATCGCCTATATTCGACAAGAACATCCTGAACCATCCGAACAAACCTGAGCCGTATATGTGGTTCAGGAGGGGAGACCCTTATAAAACACTAAAATACCCTGTAGACTGCCTGGAATAAATTTGAAAATGGCTCAGATTTTGACGAAACTCCAATCTTCAGTTCCAACATTTTCCGCATTCTGGAATGGTGGCGCTCTAGTCGCCTCGATTTGTATATCTGTATAACAATTATCCTGAACCATCGCTTGTATGCAGCCGTAGCGGAATATTATTAGATTCTTTCAGCAGCTTACAATATTTAAACACGATAATGACCAAATCGGTCCAATTGGACCGCTGAGGTAATATTGTACAAGTACAAGACCATGGCCGTCCTTAGGGATCGTCTTAAAAAGTTATGACCCTTTCGTAAAATAGTTCGTGCCGCTTATTAGTACATATTTTCATAGAAAATGGACCGCTTATCCTGTAGATTTTGTCATAAAAAATAGACTGCTTTGTCTTTTAGATTGTTATTAAAAAATATAAAATACTAAGACTAACCGAAATTATTATAATCTGCCAAAAAAGTGTACAATATGTCAAGTAAAATGCTTCTGTGTGAATGTGTTAATAAAATTCAAATAAAACTTTTGGATAATACAAAGTAATTATGTTTCAAAGTTTTTGAAAAGTATTATTTATTATTTTATAGATGACGTAATTAATATTTAAAAATAATGTACTACAACAATTCAATCAAAATGGATAAATAAATCATCGGGTGTGACCGGAAATAAATTAATAGAACTGATTTCTTTTTCGTTGACAAAACCACAATAATTTATATTGACAGAGCATGACAGACATAATTCTAAATTTTAATGAATAAGTTTACACAAATTATCACTTAATGATCCTCATAAGCCTTTAATATGTATTTTTTTAAAGCGTTAATTTATGGAGTTTCCGGTAGTATATTTGAAAAATACTCTCCTTCCTAAAGAATAAAATGTAAGTTTTGTAAAAAATATGTATTCTTAAGAAAAGGGCGTCTTCGCAATAATTACCATGACTTTTTATAAAAATTAATTAATCAGTTCTGACATTTTTACACTCTACAGAGTGATTTTATTTCTGAATTTAAAACTAATTAACAAATTAACATAATAAATAATTCCATAACCTACACCATATGCCTTTAATTTCAGTTTAGGCTGAGTCCCTTTATTACTTCTAACGAATTTTGTCTGTAAGAATTAAAAATTGTTTGGCACTTTTGGCAGGCAACAGCAACACCACGGCTAGCTACAGGCTTGCCAAAATTTCAAAATATTTCTGGATATAAACAAAGTGTGATCCGAATTCAGCTCGGAGGTCGTATCCTAATCCAAAATGTTTAAAAATAAACCATTCATACAATACTATTTCTCTTTATAATTCAAATAAAAAGTAAATCTTTTGAAATTTGATGGAAATCATTACATGATTTTTCCTTGATGTTTTGTACCTTGTCTTTGAAAAGGTCAAACAACCGATATTATAAAAAACTCTAACACCACAACAAAGTTCAAAAATAAAAATATAATCATCAATAAATAACAATAAAATATTAGATTTTTTAAAAAACTAATGTACGACACCAAGGAAAATATTTTCTGTCAACTCACTTTTTTATTTCCGTGACGTCACTACGTCCTTAGTAACCGTGTCATATCGTCTTTTGTTTTTATATTTTATATGGGATTTGAGGAAAGTTAAAACACCTATAATAATTGTCATCCATCGTGGTTCGAAGTGTCTATCTGTGGCCCGCCGGAAATATGTTCATCAACGCGTCAATGCAAAATTCCTTGTAAAACTCGGAAAATCTGTCATAGAAATGAATGCTTCATTGAAAGAAGAATAAGTTGTAAAATGTACATACCTACCTATTTTGATCTATGACGAATTTCAAATGGAGGTGCGATTTATAAAAAACAGTTGTACAAATAAGTCAGAAATTAACAATAGAATTCGATTCAGTAATTCAAAATATTTGGTTTGAGAATTTTAAGTTCAAGTTAATAAAAACGTATTATAAAAAGGGCATTTCAGTAGTGTCACTTTTTTTTTCACCGATGGGCAGGCAAATATCAAGCAAAACTAAACTGAGCATCGATATACCTAGCGTGATGCAACACACGTGCCAGAATATGGTCTCTTTTTGCGTTTCATTGAGATTCTTGAGAACGATAACGCCTAGAAGGAGACCTACGACTGCCCCACCAACGTGTGCTGAATAACTGACATCATCTGCTTGATTTAAAACCGATACGTAAACTCCGTCTATGGATACGATGACTCCAAAAAGAATTAAGTGAACCGCTGGATGGCTCATTTCTCTCCAATTCTGCAAAAGAAAGTATAATCAATTTAAAGAAACTAGATGTAACGTAAAAATACCCATTTTTAATTTAATATTTTGATACATGCAAGTGAAAATTAGGATCTGTGTCTTACCACCGTTCGTATAGTAGTTTATAAACCGTGGGGTTTTACAACGCAGACATGTTAGCAAATAATACCTATCCAAGAAGCGAATCTAAATGGCCGATTCGTGGACAAAAAATTGCCACGTTTTAGTTTTAGTGATATTTTAACGTCAAATAATGCTGTAAATTAATACAGGGTGTCCCTAAATTGCTGTAACATAGAGCTACTATGTATTGTAGAAGTCAAAACAAGTGGATTTGACCCAATTTATATAATTATATTTTAAAATATACCGTTTGTCCGTGAGAAGAATTAAAAATTTACTTACAAATTCACACCTTGTTTGACAGAAAAACAACATAAATATACATATTTTTTAGCTCTTGTAAAAACTCCGTATTTCACATAGAAACCGTTCAAAATATTTTATTTCTGTGATATTTAGTACGCAGTGACAGATAATAAAGGTGTATATTTTTCAATACATAAATAATTTGCAGATTTAACAGTAGCGAGCACTGGCTTCAATATTTTTGAAATAAAAATGGTACGCCATTTGTTTTATTTTTCAATAAAAATTATTTTTGAATTTCCAGTTCAATTGGAAACATAGAAGCTCTCTTGAGTTTTTTCCTGCAATGCGTCGTTTTTGACAACAACTGACAACATAAACTGTCATTGCATACTAAATCACACTGAAATATCTTAAGCGGCTTCGAAACTATTAATTTCCATTTTTGTTTTGGAAAAAAATGGTGAAATATGTAAATAACTTTAACTTCACTTTACTATTTTATTACAGTTCTATAAAGATTATTATTGTTCAAAAAGAATTAACTGCTCCTAAATGCCATATAAACAGCCCGAGCTGCATGCCGATAAACTTTCTCTCTAAAGGAGGGAACGCATTAGGCAATCTCAATCCACTTGCATCACGGGCTGTTCTAGTCTCGAGCGCAGTCAAGTTCTTTCCCATATTTTATGACGTATGCATTTCCACTTGGTGTTCTTAAGCTCCAAAGAATCTCGGGAGAACGTGATGCGATCAAAACTAGCACAGGCCCCGATACGACGGTACCGAGATGCGTATTGCCAAATTATATTTTGGCTTGTGTTTTCACGAATTGCACATACCCTTGCTATCTAGCTATGTCAAAACATATTACGATTCAGAGCAATTTTTACTCCTACAAGGCTATCAAGTGATTATTATGAAATTAGGGAAAGGGGAGCATAAGTGTATACCATTAGGATAAATATAATGAATAATTTAGATTTATTTACTAGCTATTAGCTAAAAATTTGTATAAATATAAAATCAAGTACCTACATGCTCTTTTAGTATATATTTTTGGTTAATGTTTTTAAGCATTAGTCCTAATTGGAGAAATATTCTAAGACAAGTTGTGGCGAATTTTCGGCTTTATTGTTGTTTGATTATACATAGTTACTGAAACTTTCGGACAAAAAATCGGAACGAAGTTGATTTTATAAACAACAAATCACGCGACGCATCAAATTACCGACAGCTCAAAACAACCTTCAAGTGCACGCATACTGAACTAAAACCCAAAACTCAAACGTGGAATATGTTATATGTTTTGGCAATTTACAACAATATGGCGCACAAGTTATTCTCCGATTAGACCGTTTGAATCACTACGGCGGCGGCGCTGGATGCGCGTATGTTTTGTTCCTGTTGTTTTTGCGTAACGGTTGCCAAAACATATTACGACTCAGAGTTAAATGTTTGATTATTATGGGGTTATGATTGACGGCCTATGTTATTTTTAACAGACACGTTATGTGTAAACAGGTTGTTATTTCTGTGTGTTTATAAAATAACAGACCTGTTAAAAATAACATAAGTCGTCAATCATAACCCCCTATGAAACGTAATATTATTTGGCAATACGCTACCGGGATTGCCTAATACACATGTCTCATTTAAAACCGTTGTATTCGTCAGGCTTTTTGGCACATATTTTCAATATTGATTAATAAATTTGTTATAAAAAGGACCACGCACTTTTCTCATGCAAACGGGAGTACCGTCAAAATGTCTGAATTTTGATATATTAAATAACTTGATGTCCCCATCAAAAGTGTCCATGGGCTCAATCGTATCCTATGACTAGATTTTGAGATACAGGGTGTTGAAGTTAGAAATCCCTAATTCTTTAAAATGGACACCATAAATCACCCTTAAATATTTTTGGAAGTTTTTTGCTCATTCTGTGTAGTCAAAATACATAATAATAATAATAATAATAATAATAATAATAATAATAATAATTTATTTACAAAATAACGGTAAATACAATTTGAAATATTACAATATTATCTAGTAAATAAATAATAAAGCTAAAGGATATCTAGATCCTGTACAGCTGGCTAAAATATTTGAGTATATATTAAAATATATTTATAATAATTAAAAGTTATTTTTTTTATTATATTTTGGTAACAGTTAACCTTTGTGACGACCAACTATAAGGAAAACCTGTCTGAAGTTGAGCGAATTAGGATTAACTGTAATACCCTACGTATAACTTTTTAATAATTTTTTTTGTATATATTTTTTGTTTTAGAACAATAATATTAAATAATAATAATAATAATAATAATAATAACACATTAAGAATAATGACCATAATAAAAGTAATAATTATAATAATAATAGTAATAATAATAATAATAATAATAATAATAATAATAATAATAATAATAATAATAACAACAATAATAACAATAACAATAATAATAACAACAATAAAAATAAAAATAATAATACCAATAACAATACTAACAATTATAATAATAATAATAATAATGATAATAATAATATTTCATTAATAATAATAATTTTCAATCATTGCAAGTATAGTTTGGCGTGGAAATTGTAAAACCCATTTTTTTATTAATTTTTTGTATAGATTTTTTGAATGAATTTGTTTTATCTCAATTGGCAATTTATTATATAGTTTAGGACCTATGTACCAAAAACTTCGTTGAGTGTTGGATTTCAATACTTTGGGTAAGACATATGTATAACTTTTTGAACGGGTATTATAATTGTATTCATTTTTTTTCAATTCGCCTTTATTGAAATGCTGCCTTATTAATAGATTCTGACAAAACAGTTGTCTAACATCAAATAATTTGCTTTCTTCGAATAGTTGCTGTGTTGGGTAAGTATATGGTTTTTTCAATATAATTTTTATGAGATATTTTTGCGTATTATTGAGATTGTTTATATGGTATTCTAATGCCCCTCCCCCAACTATGATCCCGTATTTAATATGTGATTCAGCAAGCCCATAATAGATCATTTTTAATTGTTCAAAATTCAATAGTTTTGATAAAAATTTAAACCTAAATAATAAGGTTCTGAGTTTCTTTATTAAAAAATTAATATGTATATCCCATTTTAGGTGTTTGTCTATATATACCCCCAGATATTTAATATTAGATGCTAAACTAATGTCGACTAAATTTTTATTGACTCTAATTGAGATTTTATTGTAGGTAGGTGAGGTATTTTCATATGAGCAAAAAGGTATAAATAAAGTCTTGTTAAAATTGACAGTAAGCAAGTAGTGGTGAAACCAATCAAAGACTTAACTACTATAATTAAAATATTGTACCTTACCTTAATGATTCGGCAAATCTTTTTTTGTCAAAGTAGGTATTCCCACCGAACAAAAATAGCTAAAATACCGAAAAAAATATATCACCGTCAAAGTCTCTCAATATTTGATATCGTATAGTACTCGATATACTCGTTCAAAATTCTTATTGGTAAAATTAGATCCTATGACTAGTTTTCCAAATATAACTTAATATGTACCAAATATATGAATTTTAAACAATAAATATATACTGACAAAATAGATATTTTCAAGAGAAATATCTTATATTAAATATTTTGATATACTGTTTTAGATTAAGAATATACTCCTTGTACTATTTTCAAAGAGACAAAAAATCGTACTTACAGGGTGATTGCGGTTGAATATGTAAAAGGAAAAACAACAAAATGCTGAAATTGTTGGCAAAAAATAGAAAATAATTGCCTTTTAACTTGCGAGTTGTTTATTAAAAAAATCTAATTAGTTTACATACAGGGTCATACATTATTGCATTACAAAAAAAGTTCATTATATGGTAGCTATAAGTAGGATCTAGGGAAATGAATAATGATTGGATTAAATGTTTATTTTGACTGGAGCATTGCCTCTTTATATTGTATATTTATATCAGATTGGGATCTCCTTTCCGCGTAAAGTGTTAGCCCCTGTAGGAATAGTGCACCGCTTGTATAATAGGGCAGGTCAAAAATTACCAAAAAAATTGTGTTTTATGTGGATTACATCCTATATAAAAATTAGTGAAAAAATAAAATATTTAGCTGGTACCTTAGGGGTGAGAAATTAAGAAACTAAAAAAATTCAGCTTTGTGCAGCTCTTTGCTTGATTTAAAACTCAAGGAGTTTAGGGCAACTACAAGATAATAAAACCGGTTATGAATGTTGTTAAATCAACCCAGAACTCACCACGAGGAGGTGGCCGCACTTCGAGTTCCACCCACCTACCCATTTCTCCATTTATCTCAATATATCTTACTTATTTCTATAAAGAGATCATTACATTTTTGGCAAGTCTTTTTTTGGCATCAAGTTTAGCACGTATGTATGTAGAATTTTCACAACACCCAATTCTCTTTTCTCTTTTTTGGCATTGTTATTAATGTTCTCATAACTTGGAAAAATATAACAATAATAGCAATTACAAAGGACAACTGAATTTATTACAAACACTAAAGATATAAATTCAGATACATTGTAAGGTATATAAGAAAACAAAAGTCAAATATTAAATTAAAAGAACAGCCTGAACTAAAGATAAACGACCAAATGACTGACGTAACTGAACCAAGACGTTAACGTTAAGTATTAGGTGCAAATACGAGATGGTAATACCAATTAATTTTCTTCTACTATGGGACCGAGATCGATATTTTCTGGAAATAATCGGTCTGCTGCATCATCGATGATATTTAGTAAACGTGTTGTTGGAAATCTTATATTATTCTGGTGCCTTGCATAACCAAGAAACCATAACACTGATACAACATGTGCGCAAGTACTTAAAGTTCTCGAACCGCATGGACATGTACAATAATAGTAGAAAATTGGATCAATATTTTCATTAAGTTCCTCTTCGTATGCCAACCATAGCATATATTTAGTTGCGTTTCTGAACCTAGAATAAATTCTAAAACGTAAAAAATTATTCTCTTCTCTAAACTCGTCTATTTCTAAAACATTATTTTCCTCTCTTTGCAGTTTATCTTGAATATATGATGGACTTAAATAAATATGGTAAGAACCTACCAAGTCTTTTAGGAAATTGATCTCTACGCGAGGAAATTCAGGAATATGCATGTGGTTCAATCTTCGCCACCGACCATTTCTGGTAGTCAGATTTTCGGCTTCGACACGTGCTTGTATAATATTAACGTCATCTAGTTTGTTTAAAATTTCAACTGCTATGTCCATTGTACCTGGTAGGTTTATAAGAGGATGAAACTTATTTAACAACGCACCTGCAATCTGATAAAAACCACTCAAATTAACTGTATGATGCGTGGATATGCAGCCTTTAAAAAATTTAAAAATGGATTTAAAATGTTCATTTCTGGCATCTACAACCCAACGAGTTTTAGTTATTAGTCTCGCTCTATTAGCTTCACTTGTTGATAATTGCCGTTGGTTTTGATGAAGCGAAGGTGGAATATAAGTAATTAACCCAAGTTCTTCTAATCTAGGAATAACATCCCTGTAGCCTCTATCTACTATTACTATATCTCCTTCTGTAATCCAGTTTCTAAATTCATTATTATCATTAACCAATTGTTGCCGTAAGATGCATCAGAAAAATAGGGACCATTGATTGATAAAATATATCCGTCAGGAGCTACTGTAATTTCTGGCTTCTTAAGTTACCATATTCTATTGGTTCACAAAATTCATATAATTCTTGAAAATTTTCTTTAGAAATTGAAGTTAAATATTTAAATTCTTCTAAACTAAAAGTATTTATGTCTTCCCAATTGTTTAAATTATTATTAGCATTAGCAGCCGCTCTTAAACTAGACAAAAATTGCTGAATATTAACGATGAGGAATGGTCTATAAACAAAACGCATACCAGCATGTAAATTAATCATTAGTAAACCCGAATGATTTAGATGAATGTCACAAATCTTCGGGTACATAAATATTTGAGACTAAAAAAATATTTGCTTTGCATACTGCAGATAGTTTTCTTACATTTACTTGTGCGTTACAAATTATACAACCACGAACTGAGTGGGGTGTTAAAACATTAAATCTTAGACAATTTGGATTATTTTCAATATTTCTAAGTTCCTGTGTAATTGCGTGATAACAGTTTAAACATAATCTTACTTCTTGTAGATTATCGACTGCAGGATGTCCGGCAGCTTGTCTTCTAAAATTAGCAATGTTAAGCACATATATATTATTGTCCTC